TTTTCTGAATACTTTGGAAAACAATATTTTTTAGAATAAATGTAAGGCTAGTTTACTGTACTGTAACTTGCTAGGTCACTACCTGCTATCCTTTCCTGTTTTGTGTCCATGGCTACCAGTGTCTTTGTTCTTGTATTCTATTTTACTAACAAAGAAAAATATTATACTTGGTTTGAACAGGTTTATTAAAGATACTGCACAACTTCTATAGCTATATAGGAAAAGGTTTCTTTGCACTGACAATACTGAACCAAGTGATAAAAACATTGCAAAATTATGAACTTCTATTTCTTTATTGAAAATGGCCAAAGGAAAAACTGCTAATCCAACATGAGTTCATATTGCTTAGACTTTAACAGAAGAATTTTACTTCAATGAGGCTATGATGTCACTATTCCAGCTTCTTACAGAGAGGAAAGACTCCAAACTGTTTACAGATGCATGACATTAATTTTGTTGAAATGATAGTAGTTAATACAGAAAAAAAGGAAAATATTACTTTGCAGTTTACACTTACTTCTGGGGATTAGAGGAGGCGGTAGAGGCAGATCAGCATCAACATCTGTGGTATAAACAGCAAACTTATAGGCAATTGTCAATTAAAAATAAAAAGATGTCTTTTCAGATGGCAACAAAAAACAGTGTGCTATCCAAACACAACTTTGTTGTGCAGACTTAAATAGGAATATCATGTTGCAAGGAGGCAGCAGTGCCACTACATTCCAACTTCTTAAAAATATAAAGAACAATGACTAAAAATCGTTTACAGATGCATGGCATTTTGTGGAATTATAGCATTATGAAAGAAAAGGAAAATGTTATTCTAAAGTTGGCAACTTACCTAAATCTCCTCCTGCAGGGGGAGGGGGAGATGGAGTTTCAGTATCTGCAGTTTAAACAATAAGTTTTGTAACTGTCATTTTTAAGGTATTTTAGTCATGTGGTTGCAGAATATCTCTATTGAGTAGTATATTATTGTTATTGTGCATCTGAAATTTTGTGAACGTTTAAATCGTAAGCTAAACACACAGTTGTGGTTAAAAGTAATCATTCTTCTATAAAAGTAGCACTCACCTTCTTGGTTTACATTTCAAATGGCAGTTTTCAGCCTTGGAATAATTTTTCAAGAATGATTTGTCACAAAGTTAACTAATAAACATAAAAAGAAAAAATGCCTCACCAGATGCACCTCTCCCTCTCTACATCTGAAAGAACAAAATAATGCCATTTCACAGGATCCTACAATGGATGCAAAAACATGCCCTCACTAATATTATGTCTTTCCTTAAAAACTTTATTTTTTGACAGAACAACATAACATTCCTCTTCCTCATTCCAAGACCAGATGAATTTGTACACATATTTTTTTCGTGCTCGTTTAACCGCAATCTTTTTTCTAGTACCTATTTTCTTGAGAAGAGGAAAAATATGCACGTGTACACAATTGCATGCATGCGCATACTTGTTCACTTTCCTTTGTTTACATAGTTTGATGTGCCAGTGTTCATTTAATCACAAATAACCTACAGCTGCTGGAGATATTTTTTTATAATAACCTTTACCTGGACAAAAATTTTATGTAGACAACAAGCACTAGTAAGACAGATTCTGGAACTGAGATGCTGTCAAGCCTTAGGAACCAAGTTGACAGAGAGTTAGTGGAAGTGACAAGAAGAGGGACGAACTTGGTTCTTAGATCAAGGGGATATCTTGGCTTGAGAAAGCGAAATTTTTCGGAGATCATAAAAGAAATCCAAACCCTTTGTCCAATGGTATTCACAGGTCTGTCTCAGATGATCCTGTTGGACCAAAATCCAGAAAAGAGAACAGCTCCACTGGCACTTTTGTACGGGCTGATCGTCTTCCAGGGATGTCACTAATTAAGTCGGATGCAGCAAGTGAATACAGTATTACTCACAGAGGGTGATTATTTCTGAGTGTAACATTGCCATATATAATTGGTCAAATTAGAAAATAGTTCGGTAGCGTTATTGAAAAAAACCAATTTCAGAAACAGTTTATTCTGAATGTGCGCCAATTCCTGTTATAAAACAGGATAACCCACCCTATGGGTAGCTGAAAATTAGACTACCCACCCCATACCAGGGCCGGGGCCCAAAGGCTGATGACTCACCCCCATCTCTGCTGCAGCCCATCCATTATAGTTTTTGACCAGTTCCTAATGACAAGAAAAGTACGAGGAGAGCAATAGAATCCATTACTTTTTTTTAAATGGTCTACCAATAATGTATCTTATGCAATATATATATATGAGCGGTATTCCTTTTCAGCTTGCTTTTAAGGAGGCTTTACAATAATTCTGCTCGAGAAATGGGCACAATGCAGTACTTCATTGAAAAACTGCAGAGAAGAAATGTCACTGGATCAATGTGTAAATCATTATGAGGACTGCCAGCGGTTGTTTCTTAGCATTGGTAGGTGTTATACTGTGGAAGCATTGCTAGCGTTTTTTCACATGGTTGACCAGAACTGTCAGCCAACTACGAACAGGCTGCCGCACTGTATGTTAGAGGTGGGAAACAACCAGCAGGTCTATAATCATGCACTCTGTGCTAGACAAATTCACAGGTCAGTTCCTTCTACAACCTACCCAAGATCCTGTTGAACATGATTCCAGCACTGATGAAGATACTCAATGTGCATTCTTAAGTATTTCTTCCTTCTCCTAACTTCTAGGATGTTGTCAGAGAAGGAAATGGTGCAAGGCTTGCAACTTTGCATAAGGTTTTGGTACAACATTTTCAAATCATTTCCTGGTTTCAATTCTTCTGCAATTGAAATGCTTACAAGTGCTGTCCAAAATGAGGTGTTTCTTACTGATGCAGAAGCACATAACTGTGGATGGGCATCTACTGCTAATTGGACAGGTGGCCCCGGAAGAAACATTGTGGTTAACCTTCTCCTTAAGAATTGCAACAAAGACTTGAGGAAGCAGTTTAAACTTACGGGGGCCAACAAAACAAACAAAACAGTTGATTGTTTAAGTAGAGCATCAGGAGGAGAAAGACAGATTGTTGAGAACTATGATCAGCCGTTCAACAGAGGTGTTCATGCATATTCTCACAGCCATCAGTCCTAAGTTTCAGATGAAAAGAAAATACTAGCTGACTTAAACACAAAGACGCGCTATAAAAGGAGCCTTAGGTCCCACTGGACCATTTGTCAATCAACCGTGGTGTGATGTAGAACTCTTAGAGTCAAGTCAGCTTGAGGTACAGCTACTCCAAAGCAGTGAACAGCGGGCGCATTCCTCAAAATTATTCTATGTCTTCATCACAATACAAGAATTGTTGAGATTTGTTTTTACCTTCTCCAATGGGAACTGTCTTTATTTGTGGCGGTAAATTTGAGATTGAAGTAGGTGGTTTGCACGTTACGTCATTGCCACCATGCTGGTGGAAGTAAACAATAGATATCTCATTAGCTCCTTTTGTTCATCTACCAGCATTTACATTTGACCCATACATGTCAACGGTGACTGACAAATGAGCCTAGGTCTTCCCAGGGAAGACTTCCTTATATAGCACGCCTTTGTGTTTAAGAACCCTTAAACCAATTGACACAATACAAAATCAAAAGCATGTCAGTCATTTCAGGAGATAAGTTCTGAACCCTAATGACTACTCTTGATGAAACCGAACTAGCAAAGAGGCTATCAAGACACTAGAAAAATCTTTTCATGGATGCTTCCTTCATTTGTGATGACAAGGATGAAATTTGACCTCTCTAAGCTACAGTGAACAAGGAAACAAGATTTGCAACTTTCCAAGAGAAAATCTCCATTCTTTTCAGTGTCACCTTTTAAGTTCACTCTGGTATAAAAAAATTGCAACTGCATGTTTACTTTGGAATTAGATTTAAATAGTTTTGTTTGGTGAAATTTAATGCATCATTTTCATACACATTACAGGACTTCTGAGCATCTCTAAAAAAACAAGTATGGGCACTTATGCAATGGTGTTTACTTTTGGCCAACTAAACTGTAAAGGTGCATTTAGAGCATACAAACATGTTCTCAGGTTACATGTATATAAAGTTCACAAAGCAATCATGTGGACAATCAGACATAGTACATAGCATGGAATAGAATAAATAAGGTTGGTTCATTGTTTTTTTGCAATAAGGTTATTTCCTTGCTATTTCTTTTCTTTTACCACTATTTTCTGAGAAAACACTATTTCAAAGAAGCAAGTCAGTTGAAACACCTTTCTCTTGTTATCAGAAACCACCTGAGGTAAAACTGAAAATTCTGCAAACCTTATTCATTCCATTATTTTCTTAACCCTTTAACTCCCAGAGGTGACTAACATGAAACTATAATTTCCATACAAATATCCAGCTAACATGTAATGAGAGTACTCAAACTCATTGGGTAGAAGTTTTTATAATGATCTAACATCAAATTCTCATAACAAATTCACAGGGTCAATTCCACGTTGCGGACGTGACATTTAGAGGCAAAATTTGGGTATTAAATGTCTCCTAAAGCCAGATCCACTCTATTTGAATTGAGATTAGTCATGTCATAAAATTACCCGTGAAGTACCTTTTATTTTGCCTGAAAACATTTTGACTATCTCGTAGAGATCCAGAGAAAATAATTTTTCAAAGTGTGTTGCGGATGTGACTCCTAAAACAACCATTGATTTGAATTGCTTTTGGTTACTTCAAATTTCCTGTGAATTGAAAACCTTTTAAAAAAACTGCATATACTAACTAAATGCAATAGTAACTGTGCTTCATAAATCTGAAAAGATATTATAGAAATTACTTGTTACCATG